GCGATGATAAACAAAATACGACGGCCAAAGCGCGATCCCGGAGGCTGTACACGACGATGCTGACGAAGTTTGACTGCGTGGTAATGGACGACGAAACCTACGTCAAAGCCGACTACAAGCAGCTTCCGGGACAGGAGTTTTATACGGCAAAAGGAAGGGGAAAGGTAGCAGATGTTTTCAAGCACATGAAACTGTCAAAGTTCGCAAAGAAATATCTGGTTTGGCAAGCCATCTGTACCTGTGGCTTGAAAAGCAGCATTTTCATAGCTTCCGGGACTGTCAACCAAGAAATTTACGTGAAAGAGTGTTTGAATAAACGTCTGCTGCCTTTCCTGAAGAAACACGGTTGTTCCGTACTGTTTTGGCCGGATTTGACATCTTGCCATTACGATTAAAAGGCCATGGAGTGGTACGCCGCCAACAACGTGCAGGTGGTTCCCAAGGACAAGAACCCTCCCAACACGCCAGAGCTCCGCCCAATTGAGAAATACTGGGCTATTGTCAAGCGGAACCTAAAGAAGACCAAAAAAACTGCTAAGGGCGAGCAGCAGTTCAAGGCAAACTGGCTTTCTGCGGCGAAGAAGGTGGACAAGGTGGCTGTACAAAATCTGATGGCAGGAGTCAAGCGTAAGGCCCGGCAATTCGGATTTGGAAAAGCGGAAGCCTAACTGAATATTTTTCCTGAATTTTATACTAATTGAACTTGAAAAAGAAATTTAATTTGATTTTTTAAATAAACGATTTCACCGATTTACACGCGTTTTCCCTTGACCAAATTTTGACCGTATCACCCTTTACAAAAGCTCTATACATTATTTTGCGGAATGCTGTTGATAAAAAAAAGTTAGAAGCAAATGAATGTAAATTAATGTATGAAATGAATGCAAATGATTTTCCATGCCTGCCTGCTGCACTACAGGCACTTCCAAGACTTTTCCGGGTTATTGCAAAACTAGTTCAAAAATTCTTCAGGCAAATCATGATCACAAAAATGGAACTTTAAGGTACCAAACATCAAACGTCTAAAACCAGAAAAAAAGCACTAGGACGACTCTCTTGCCGAATGAACCAATTGACAAATCTATGTTGGAACTTGGCCATACCCACTCGTGCCCAACCTTTGACAATAGCGCACTCGACATTTGATTTCTCACCAAAATACAGTACGAAAGCGGCTCTTCGAAATGATGTCTAAGACAAAGTTGTAGAAACCGAATCAGGTAAATATATAAACACTAAACAGGAACGATCTCACCAAATGAAAGATGGTTTGCCCGTGAAGCAAAAACTCGGAAGACTGTTTCATCTCTTAGTTCTAGCTCAACACTTCAAACCATTCCATTAGATCTTCAAAGAAACTCTTGCACAATCTGCCTCCAATCCAAGCAGAATCATCGGGCCATCGGGTTCGCGAGAAAATGGCCTTACAAGGTTTGTTTACAAAATGGAGTTAAGGCCATTTCAATTATTGGTCGACTTTCTAGAGATCATCGAGAGAAGCCATTGTTTACAAAAGCTTTTACTCCCTAATTCCAGCTCTATCTAGAATTTTTCGCGAAGAAACGAAGGGAAACGTTACTTATTTAGTGATGTCTTGCTGCATACTATGATGTCCTACTTGGAAGCATTTGTGATGCTAGACGAGAAGAGCCGGCGCGGAAGAAGCGGGAGAATACTATTCATGGCACAGTACAATCCATCCAGCGCGTAGCCATGTTGATCCAATCCGTGTCCGTCCGCCAAACGTCTTCAATATGATGCTGTATTTCCCCTGCAATAGAACCGGCAGCGTTAAAGGAAACGGTAGACGGTCACCTGCCGAAGACTCCGAGGTGATTCGGTCTGGACAATGGTTCGCCAGACGGGATCGGAAGTCAACTGTCCATAGATTTTTTTTTTCAATTTTGTTTTCAGTATCTGAAGTAAACAAAGCAGTAACCATAGTTATGAGTAGGATTGGCAAAACTCAGCAATGCTGCCGTTTTATATAATATTGTGTTTGTGTCATACTAGTCAACTAGTAGTAGGGCACAACGTGCCAAAAAAGTATGCGTGCTGTATTTCGGCACAGTGTGCGAAGTTGATTACCCCTTGCTTTAACCCCTGGTGCCAATTACTGGAGTACAATTACCAAAACTGGTACAGTTACCGTAAATGGATAAAATGTATGTATACGTGGAAACCTCGGTGAAAACTCATCCATGTTGCGTTACGTTGCGTTTGAAACAGAGTAATCCGTAGATTGCATACTGGCACTCGGTGAAAACTAATCCGTGTAGACGAAAAATGAGCATTGGGGATATTGACCTATGGAAAGTACGGAGCATCCGAAAGAACTAGACGAACGAAAATGATGACGAAGCTTATTAAAAAAAAACAAAGCAAATGAATGCCACCATTTCTGCGGGCAGAGAACACCCGGAAGAGTTTCTTTATTATTACTGTTCAAGTCGCTGAAGAAGAATTAATCAATGATAAGTAATGGTCATTATCAGTATGACCATGCCGTAGTAGCAACTTTACCTATCCCAAAACGAACAATACGTGTTATATTCAGTTTCTCGGCGCAACGTGTCTGTCCATCAACGTCACCAACAAAAACGTATTTTAAAATATTCCATTAGCGTACACAGACCGGAGATAAAGGGTGGGTCGATAATTATTGCGACACTTTAATTGGTTAGTTAAATAGTTATCGAAATGAAACCAAATTGTTACAGTAGTTCAGTAGATGTATTTATTTCAGCTTACATACGTCGGTTAAATTTTAGGATGAGTTTGAGTAAAATGCTCGACATTTGCGTTTGACGCCCTCCATCAGACAGTCGTTTCCGGTACGTTTTTCTCAGTTTTTCCCACTTCCTCATCATTTCCTTTTCGTCCTTCGCCTCTCTTTTAGTCTTCCGAAAAAGTTTCGATCGGACACTCCGATGGGTTCATTTTTTTGGTGGCTTCATGTCTTTCGGCAAAAAAATCCACAGAATTAGCCGCATACCACTCCTACACGGTTTTGGAGTAGTGACATGAAGCCAAATCGGGCCAAAACAAGCACTCACAAGTGCATATGGCCTGTCAAATCAGGTACTTCGAATCGAATTTCGATAGCTCTTCCGTTTGAAACGGTCATCCACAGTAAACTTGTTCTTTCCCGTGAAATTATTCATCAGTGTTCATCGTGTATATACATTCCTAAGGCGCAACGCGACAAGCCAGGATTTTGCATGTGGATGAGCAAAATTCTTTCGCGAACGGTTTGCTGATTTTCTTTCATCTCAACCGTAATCCGGTTAATTTCGGTCAAATATAAAAAAAATATACGCAAGTTTGAAAGTGCTCGACATTTGCGTTTGACGCCCTCCATCAGACAGTCGTTTCCGGTACGTTTTTCTCAGTTTTTCCCACTTCTTCATCATTTCCTTTTCGTCCTTCGCCTCTCTTTTAGTCTTCCGAAAAAGTTTCGATCGGACACTCCGATGGGTTCATTTTTTTCATGGGTTCATGTCTTTCGGCAACAAAAATCCACAGAATTAGCCGCATACCACTCCTACACGGTTTTGGAGTATTGACATGAAGCCAAATCGGGTCAAAACAAGCACTCTCAAGTGCATATGGCCTGCCAAATCAGGTACTTCGAATCGAATTTCGATAGCTCTTCCGTTTGAAACGGTCATCCACAGTAAACTTGTTCTTTCCCGTGAAATTATTCATCAGTGTTCATCGTGTATATACATTCCCAAGGCGCAACGCGACAAGCCAGGATTTTGCATGTGGGTGAACAAAATTCTTTCGCGAACGGTTTGCTCATTTTCTTTCATCTCAATCGTAATTCGGTTAATTTGGGTCAAGTAGGAAAAAATATACGCAAGTTTGAAAGTGTCGTAATAACTATCGACTCACCCTTTAATTGATGGGGTTAGAAGGAAAAGGGTGTAAGTGACTTTGATCGATTCCCTTCATCGACTTTCTCTTTCGTTAATAATTCAGCTGCAAACACATTCCTTAATTCGTGTGCCATTCTGGATGCTAGATGAGAACCTCCAGAAATAGCGCAAAATCTGTTTATAAAGCTGTGGCTATCAAAAGAGAAGGAAGAGAATCGATCAATCGATTGATATCCTGAGAAAAAAAACTTATATTAAAATGATAACAATCGATCTTCCGTTTAGTACAGTTGTGCTCATTCCCATTTTTCCAATGGCTGTATCTTTGTTCGATGGTCAATTTAGTGTATTTCCCAATCATGTCGGCCATACCTTCGTAATGCTAAAATAAATTCATGCTGAAGTTGTGCTGAGGTCACAGCTACTGCAGTTCCATGGGTTCAAAAATCTGTAAATCATTCCCTTTCAAGAAAGTTGCGAACGCCCCTGTCGACATTTATTATTCATCAAACGGAACGCTTCCTGAATTGATACGCACCTCAATGCGTACGTCCACGGTCTTCACAGTTCGTCGAAAATATCGAGATGCACACCAACCGTAAAACTACGCTCTACCTAAAAAACCTAGTGTTCCGACCCCTTCAGTTGCTGGGCTTGCTACCGCTATCCTTCGACACCAAGCGCAAGCGATTCTACCGATCCAGATGGAACCTACTGCTAACCATTCTGCAAGCTTCATTCGTCAACCTGATCATCCCCATCATATCCTACCTTCTGGTCAATATGGAAATCTTCATATTATCTAACCTATCGTTCATATTGATGGCGTTAGAGATGTTTTTAAACTATTTAATGCTAACTTTGTCGTATGCAATAATACTGGTTAACCGTAAAGACATAGAGAACATTTATAATAGCTTCGCTAAAATTTACTTCACCATATGTAGCACTTCCAGTGGGAATGATGGAAAATTTCTCAAAAGATACCTTCGTAAAGTCATTCTGGCTGATTACATACTTTTTCCCGTAGCATTCGGAATATTTTTACTGTCCATTGGGTCGGAACCAATTTTTTTGGCCTCTTGGATTGCAAACAGTTATTCCATTATGCTAATGATAATGATTAGCAATCTGTACCAGGCAACGGTTATCCTGTGTTCGACGCTCTATTTTAACATTAACCAACGGGTAATCGAAGCAGTGCAAACGCTGTGTAATTTTGACGATAATGAAAACTACTGGAATCGGAATGTTCAACGAAAGTCGAAAATTTGCACCAAAGTGTCTAGGGAGATTGACCAGCTGTGCTACCTGCATCGAATCACTACCCAAGCAGCTCAACGAATAACACGTATTCTAAGTGTGTCACTAATGTTGACTACATTATTTCATTTCGTTGTTGTGATAACAGAGGTAACTTTAGTCGTAAAATATATACCGATTGTCAACTATCCCTGACGAGAGGGTGATCTGTAGTTTCAAAACTAAATTTAATTTTTGTTCAAGGTTTACTACAACTACATCAGTTTGGTGAGCGGCCTGCGAGCGGGACACTATGACTTGTATGTGCAGAGCTTGGCTTCACTGGGCTTCATCATTATGTGCATTGTGCAGTTCTACCATTCTATATCGTTCAGTGGTCACATGACCAAGCGGGTATGTTTAACATTGTTCAATGCATTCTACGTGTGTAATACTATGGTCAATAAACTTTCCAGGCGGAAGCAACCGCGATATTCTTGAACGAATTTTTTCTCTCCGATGTCGATCAGTGTGTTGAAAGAAGTGTAAGTTACAAATGATCATTTAATTTACCAAGTAAACTATTCTAATGAAGCATTACTTAAATAACAGATTGAAATATTCACCCTCGAGATGTTGCACCATGACTACCGACTCCGGATGTTCGACTGTTTTACGATGGATGGCACGCTTGCCTACGCGGTAATAACCAGCGCCGTTACTGATCTATACATGGGTTGAATCAGTGCATTTTGTACATTGAAGATGGAAAACTAATGCCAAGCTCTATCTACGTGGTTCTCTGTGCAATATCAGTAGTTCTGATCCACTACGCAGCGTCAAGTACGAATTGAATGGTCTGTCAAATCTGAAAAGATGGCGGAGGTTGATTAAGGTGAAGATCTATTGAAACCTTATTTATGATGGATCTCATTATCACAAATATCAGCTCCCACAAAACACACTATTTTGAAACTGCTTCCCAACGTTTGCTGCAGTGTAGTAAACATGGAGATACAATTTCATGCATGAAGTCGCTGTAGTTTCCAAGATTTGTGCTATTATAGAAGTGATAGTGCTAGTCAGTCATAATGTCAGCCATTTGTGAACTCTGTCATATATGCATGCCCTTCAAAACAATCGTGCTAAATTAGCCATAAACTTTGAAATGTTGAATCAAGCGCACATTGCTGAAGCTACACCTTTGCTGACGCATTATATTGACAGTTAAAATAGCTATTTATGAAGATCGAATTTTGCAACGAGTTGCATACAAATAATGTTGCTCTCAAAAAAAAGGACTGGATGATGAAAAGTATTACTTTTAGACACTGTTATTTTAGTTATGAAAAGTACGCCATTCAAAACAGTGTCGAAAAGTGACACTTTTCAGTAGTGAGTGCTAAAACAAATATTATTCATCTCACTTCTAGAGGGATTACTAAAAAAAACAGATAGTGTCAGAAGACACATCTTTGAATTTCAAAAAGTTACGTCAAAGACACATATACCCAAAATCGATTGTACATCATTTCCCGGAATGGTGCGGTAAGTAAGGTGGGGCATCATGGCTTCATGTTATGATGTAAGAGTTATAATTGTTTTCTACTTCAAATATTTTAGCCTGTGCATAATCCATAATTCAATTTGTTGTGATAGGGTATATGTCTCTAACTTCGGTCTAATATCTTATTTAATGATTAGGCTGCAAACGATATATACTGTCAACATTCAAGTTCAGATATTCTTATTATTTGAATAATAATAACGCACGACGGAAAATTGTAAAACTCACCATTTTAACATGAAAATTTACCAGGTACGCGGATGCAATGTCGGTCTACTGTAGTCATATTGGATCTATAAATGGATGCAACGATGATGACCCTCGATCTACAAAGGTTCGGCATGTGAAATCGCGCTTCTTTTTCACTACTTATCTTTCATATGTAAACACATTGTATCGTGCAAGAACTGATGAGGAAGAAAGAGACAGTGTTTTCTCTCCGGTTGATCCAGATAACATGAACCACGATGCTTTTTGGTTTTTGATTTTGATTTTGCGAGACAGAAGGGGGTCTTATGAAGGTCAAATCTCAAGTCTCAAGGCCACATCCCAGAACGTGAGTGGATCATGGTGATCACGTCAAACTATAATGTCTCAAATGAACGACATGCAGATTTTGCACTATTTCTGTTACATAGTTTCATAAAGGAGGTTCTCATCTAGCATCCAGAATGGCACACGAATTAAGGAATGTGTTTGCAGCTGATCTATTAACGAAAGAGAAAGTCTATGAAAAGAATCGACCAAAGTCAATTACACCCGTTTCCCTCTAACCCCCTCTATTCTAAACTACACAATAATTTAATTTTGGCTAGTAGTTAAATTCCATCAAACTTTTGGTCCGCTACATCACAACTGGTATCACTAGTGTACATCTTTCAAAATTTAAAGATACAGACAAGCCCTGGAACCTGGTTGCAGTTAAGCAATCCTCAAGGTTATGCCAATGCCCAGGAATAACATAAACCACGATGCTTTTAGTATCAAAATAAAACCCAAGTAGATCATCTCACTACCAAGTCTGTCAAGATATAGTTCTAGAGCAACAATAGAAAAGGTCCCATCAGCATTTGTAAACTAACCGTTCTAAAGCCCTTTTATCGGAAATCGAAGGCCACCCACACGAACCAACAACTTTCCCCTACGCGATGGTGATGTTGGTTTACATCACGTTGCGAGGAAAGGGCATAGGAACATTTGGTTTAGAAATGCTGATGGGCCCTTTTCTATTGTTACTCTAGAGTTTTTCGAAGGGCCTAATCAGAATTGTAATGAACGGCCCATGAGATTCACTCAAAATTTAGTGGTTTTTAACTCAAAATCGCCAAAACGTAGGTAACTTATAGTCTGAGTAAAATTGTCCTTCCTTTTCCTCAAAAATCTTCTCGAATATGATGAATATCGACTATAGATACTGTCCTTGCAATCGCGGGAAATGGACTGTAACGAAAGAGTTTCGGTTTCAGTGGAATAAAATTTCTTCGGACGAAATCAAAAGAACGCGTGTTAATGATTCAACAGACAATTTTACTCTGAACTAATAATCGGTTACATGTGTGGATGTGTATAAAAAAAATGTATGATGGTTTCTGTATTCTTCGTAGGTTGTCTTAATGCCAGAGGGGCGTTAAAGTACCAACATCCTCCGGGGCGTTGAAATTGGCAATTTCAATACATCAGCTACACAGGATTGTCGTCCTCTTCGTTGTCTAGTGGCAATAGACAGACCTTCTTAACGGCTCTCCTAGTGGTGCAGTGTCCGGTTCGCAAACTCACAACGCGTGTGTGCCCATCCTTGCCCGGATGCAATTCGATTATGCGGGCGAGAGCCCACTTCAGCGGCGGTGCATTTTCATCAACGATAACGACCATCGCTCCAACCTTGAATTCGGTGACTTTCATATCTCGCTGGCGTTTCTGTAGTTCGTGTAGGTAATCGTTCATCCACATTTTCCAGAACTTCTGTTTCATGTCCTGTAAAAACTGCAAACGGGACAATCTGCCTTTAGGAATGTGGGCGTACAAGGGTTCCGGTATAGCTTGGAATTCCCTCCCTATTATGAAGTGAGCCGGTGTGATAGCAGTCAGATCATTCGGATCATCAGAAGCAGGTGTGAGAGGGCGGGAGTTCAAAATAGCTTCTACCTGGGTAAGGACGGAAGACAGCGCCTCGAACGTCAATCGATGTTCAGCGAGAACCAACTTCAAGTGCGATTTCACTGATTTAACTCCCGCCTCCCAGATCCCACCGAAATGTGGGCTACGTGGAGGAATGAACGACCATTCGATGCCCCTTGGTACACAGTATTCATTCACAGCACGCGTGTGCTGCTCACTGCGGAATAATTCGGCTAGGCGATTCATTTCATTTTTAGCGCCTTCGAAATTAGTCGCGTTATCGGAGTATAATTTCTGTACGAGGCCACGACGACTAACAAAGCGCTGGAGCGCAGCCATGAAGGATTCCGAACTTAGGTCCGAAACCGCTTCAAGATGGAGAGCCCGAGTTGCCATGCAAACAAATAAACAAACGTAACCCTTAGTGGTCGTCGGGTTCCTTGCAGTTGCACTTAATCGAAGGTTGAAGGGTCCCGCAAAATCCAATCCCGTGTGTGAGAATACTGGAGAAGGCTGGACGCGGTAATCCGGAAGCTCTCCCATCAGTTGAGTTGATTTCTTTGGCCTCATCCGAAAGCATGGTATGCAGTGGTGTACCACCTGCCGGATGACGTTCTTCGCCTTGAGTGGCCAATACTGTTGCCGGACGACCCCAAGAAGACTGCGCTGACCGAGATGCATATTGGCGCGATGTAGATGACGTATCAGCGTGACGGTGAGCGGATGTTTCTTGGGAAGTAGTGCTGGATGTCGGTGTTCGTACGGTACAGTTGCGTTCTTTAAACGTCCTCCAACACGCAGTACTCCGTCGTTCGCATCGATGAATGGATTCAAATTTTGAAACGTAATTCTGCATTCTTTATTACCTTTAATCGCTTGTAGCTCCACGTGAAAAGCTTCGATTTGAACCATTCGGATGATCAAAACTGCTGCTCGATGCATTTCCGAAACTGTGGGAAATCCTCTAGTAAGCTGCTTTCGACCGCTTTTAATGTAGTCGCAAAACCGAATCACATATGCCATCGACCGTTGAATTATAGTATACCGACTGATTCTGTCGAATGTCGGTAGCCTGGACGGCCCGCGTGCCGTTACAAGTACTGTTCTCCGAAGTTCTGGTATTTCATCTTGCGATAGCGGTAGTGGTTGCTCGAGATACGGTTGTGCGCTATGGAACCTAGGTGGACCATGCCACCAAAGCTTGCATCCTGGAAGATCCGATGGCGACACGCCACGAGATATCAGATCAGCAGGATTTTCTTTCGAAGGTATGTACTGCCAAATAAAACCTTCAGTCAGCTGCTGGATTTGCCTGACTCGGTTTCCAACAAATACAGTCAGTGAGTCCGAAGATTTCTGTAGCCAACGAAGGACTATCTGTGAATCCGACCATAATGCGACAGAACTGAAAACGGTCTCGATAGCCGCCAACAGCTTCACAGTGAGTTGAGACAGCAACAGGGCTGCTAGTAGTTCTGCTTTGGGCGTTGTAATTTCTTTCTGTTTGTTCTTCTTTCTTGAGAGAATCCTTGACTTGCTGCACACTATATTCATCATCACTGTTCCATCGTTTCGTACTGTGCGAGCATACAGACTGGCGCCGTATGCCAAGTCTGATGCATCCGCAAATCCGCAGAGTTCGTAACTACAGGCTTCGTCGCAATGAATCCATCTTGCAATCTTCACGTTGTTCAAGCTGGATAGTTGTTCACGATAGTCCGTCCACAACTTCGCAAATGCATACGGAACCGGTTGGTCCCACTCCATGTTTAAAGCCCAAAGCTCGCGCATAATCAACTTCGCAGCGGTGATTGCAGGTCCCAAAAACCCCAACGGGTCGAAGATTTTAGCGATCTGACTGAGAATCATTCGCTTGGTCAGCAGAGTGTCTGACTCAGGGTAGACCGCAACACAAAATGTGAAACTGTCTTCTTTAGGGTTCCAGGAAATGCCCAAAGTCTTCATTATCGCATTGACGGTGGGATCCGTTATGTCCACACAGCTCTCTCGCTGCTCC